ATGTCATTATTGCAGGAATGGGTTTGTAATTGTGAGAATGGGCTATTAATAAAAGCAAGTTTGGCCCTCTCTCGCTCTCTTGTGCTCACTTGCCATTCTGTCTTCCACCATGTGATGATGCAGCATAAAGGCCCTCACCAGATGCCAGTACCATACCCTTGGACTTCCCAACCTCCAGAACTGTGATCCAAATAAACTTCTATTGTTGATAAATTACCCAGTCTGTGGTATTCTGTTATAGCAACACAAAATGAACTAAGACAGAAAATTGGTACCAAGAAGTGGAGCTGTTGCAATAACAAATACCTGAAAATGTGGAATTGGCATTGGAACTGGGTAATGGGTAGAGGATAGAATAATTTGGAACAGGAAGCTAAAAAAAAAAAAGCCTAGATTTCTGTAAATGGATTGTTAAGGACAATTCTGGTGAGAGCTCAGAAGAAGACAAGAAATGTAGTTAAAGTTTGGAACTTCTTAGAGATTATGTAATAAGTGGTTGTGATCAGAATTTTGGTATAAATATGGATGGTAAAGGTCATTATGATGAGGTCTCAGATGGAAAAAGGAAATATCTTATTGGAAACTGGAGTAAAGGCCATCCTTGCTATAAAGTGGCAAAGAACTTGGCTGAATTATGTCCATGTTCTAGGGCTTTATGAAAGGTAGAATTTAAGAGCAATGAACCAGAGTATCTGGCAGAAGAAATTTCTAAGCAAAGTATTGAAGGAGCTGCTTCACTACTTTTATTTACAAACTGTAAGATGCAAGAGAAAATAAATAACTTAAAGCTGAAATTTATAATTAAAAGAAAAGCAGAATGAAAAGATTTTGAGAAATTTTAGCCTGCCTATCTAAAGAATGGAAAAGTGTGTTTGGGAGCACAAACCAAGAGTATAACTAAGTGAACTATTTGCTAAATAGATTAGTATGAACAGAACAGAGCTGGAGGCTATTCATCAGGACAATGGGAGAATGACCTCAAAGACCTCCAAAATGACTTTGGAGATTACTGGTGCTGCCCCTCCCATCACAGGCCCAAAGTGCCAAGGCCTGGATAGGAAAATATATCAAAAGAGAGGCCCACGGTGCCCCTTGAGGTCTTGGTGCTCACTGCCCAGGGCCACCTCAAGTCTCTGCTCCTGCATTCCAGATCAGCACTCCTTGGTTGTTCCAGGTATGACTAAAGGGGGCTCAGGTATGGCTCAGGCTGCAGCTTTGAAAAGTACAAGTGGCAAATTTTAGCAGCATCCACATGGTGTTAAGTCTGCAGGCATGCAGAATGCAAGAGCTGTTGGGGTATGATGGCCTCCACCTAGATTTCAAAGGATGTTGTGGACAGGGCACCCAGGCAGAGATTTATTGCAGGGGCAAAGCCACCACAGAGAGTCCTGACTTAGGGCAATGTCTAGTGTCGTCATTGAAGTGAGGCCACTTCCAAGACTCCAGAACTGTAGAGCTACTAGCTTGCATCATCAGCCCTGGATTGGCACAAGATTCCAACCTATGAGTTGCTGAATAAACTGAGCCCAGCAAAGCTATAGGGACAGGGCTGCCCCAGGCCTTGGGGGCCAAACCTCCACCCCAGTATGCCCAGTATGCAAGATATGGAGCCAAAGGAGATTATTCTTTAGCTTTAAGACTTAGTGTTGTTTTCCCTGTTGGGTTTGGGACTTATTTGGGACCAGTTACCTCTTCCTTCTTGCCTATTCCTCCCTCTTGGAACGGGAATTTCTATTCTATGCCTGTTCCACCATTGTATTTTGGAAGCACATAACTTGTTAATTTCACAAGCTCACAGCTGCAGAGGCATTTTCCTCTGGGTGAATTATACCTTCATTCTCACCTTTATCTGATTTAGATAAGACTCTGGGCTTTGTACTTTTCAGTTGATGGTAGAACAAGTTAAGATTTTGGGGACTATTGGGATGGAATGAATGTATTTTGTATGTAAGAAAGACATGAGTTTTGGGGGGACCAAAGGCAAAATACTATGGTTTGAATGTCCCTTCCAAAACTTATAGTCAAATTGAATTGCCATTGTGACAATATTAAGAGGTGAGACTGTTATGAGGTAATTAGGCAATGAGGGCACAGACCTCATGAATTAATATTATTATCATGGGAGTGGGTTGTTTTAAAAGAGAGGTTGACCTTCTTTTGCTTTCTCTTGCTCTCTTACCGTTCCACCTTCCATCGTGGGATGACACAGCATGAGGCCCTCTCCAGATGTCAGGACCATGCTCTTGGACTTTCCCTCCTCCAGAACCATGAGCCCAAAAACTTCTATTGTGCATAAATTACCCACTCTGTGATATTCTGTTATAGCAACACAAAACAAACTAAAACATAGACTTGATCAGTTCATGAATATGATGATATTCTATTCTATAGTATTCAAAGGTGATACTATTGTACTGATAAAAGGATTACAACTATATAGAAAGCAAACAGTAAAGTCTTACATACAAATTAAAACAACAATAAGAACTTGTTTTTGGTTTATTCAGATTCGTAAGTAATTTAACAAATTGAAAATACCCAGCATCAGCAAGGCAGCTGGGCAAAGAATATTTCTGTCTCTCCAGAGGACAGTTTGGCAATATGTAACAGAATTTTAAATAAGAACTCTTTTCTCAGCAAATCTACTTCAGTGATTTTTCCCTAAGGATTAAACAGACAGAATTATAGAGACATATGTGCAGAAATGTTTTTATAATGTTGTTTATAAAAGCTAAATTTTGAGAAACACAAAACCTAAATGTCCATCAACAGGAGAGTGGTTTCAGAAATCATGGCACATATGAGAGAACGTGCTGTAAAAATAGTGTCTCTTCATATTTACTAACATGGAAAGATGGTCACATTGTTGAATTAAAAGTGTTCCAAACAGCAATATACCGTATTGAGGAGTGAAAGTTTGTCATGGGGGGAGGCCAGGGGAGGAGGGGCAGAGAGATGGAGAGAAAGGATGTCCCCTAAATGTTAACAGCAGATCTGCATAGGGTGTGGGATTTCAAGTGATTTATACTCTCTCCTTTATGCTTTTTTATATTGCTTTAATTTTTGCAATAAAATTTATTTCGATTTGGGAAACAAAACACTATGCAAAGAATAAAAGACTAAAGGAAGTACTCACAACATGTTAAGTGTAGTGGCTGTCGGTTTTTAAGGGGATAGACTAAGGGTTCCTTTCTACTTTCCCCCATTTTCCAAATTGTCTTTTATTGAGTATGATTACTTTTCAAATGAAGAAAATACTCACCTATGGTGACAATGATTATAATCTGGCAGAACCACATGAAGCTCATAACCTTTCCTCTTGTTTTCCAGGAAAGACTCCTCTGTGGTTTTGTGGGCAGAGTGGAAACTTGTTTACCTTCTGTTTTAGATCCCAAGGAGAGGGGTCCCCTAACAACTGACATCTCTACATCAGCTGGTGTATGTTGAATTCTCTAGCAGTCAACATTGATGCCTAAATTTTTTATGTGCTTTGGCCTTTTTTTCACTAAAAAATTTAATGTATTTTTAGTGGATAAAATTATGAAAGTTAAAGAAGCAGGAAAAAACACCTATAATCCCTGTTATAGAAAATGAATGGCTGTTTGTCTTTTGAACATTCTTCCTTTTAATCCTTTATATACTATTGTGTATCTGGGTTGTTTTCAGTTATCATTATGATTATATCACTGTATCCCTGAAAACTCTTCAATATAGTTTTATTGGCCCAAGCCCAATTTTTAAGAAGTAGCTTATGTTTATATCATTTCAAATAGAAGAATCTTTCATGTGCTCAAAATAAGTTTATTACAGGAGCCATGAGAAAGATTCCCTCGCATTGTTGGAGCCTAGATCTTATTCTTACCAATGATTGCAACACCTCCATAATTTCAATTTCAAATACCCCCCTTTGACTACCCTGCTCCAACACTCCATTGACCTCACTGGGATGAATAATCCCTTGACCTACTTTTTCACTGTTTCTCATCTGCCTTATGCCCTCATTTCCTTTCTTACCCAGACTAAACTCCTGGTGATTATTTCAATCACCCCGTCACACACTCTCATCTCCCCATCTCTCTTTTGCTAGCTGAACCCCAACCTTGGTTAAACTCAACCTTTTGCCTACTCCACATCTCCACGTGTGCAGCCAAATATTCAAGCTCTATTTTTTTTTTTTTTTAAAGATGAGCGGTAAGGGGATCTTAACTCTTGACTTGGTGTTGTCAGCATCACACTCAGCCAGTGAGCGAACCGGTCATCCCTATATGGGATCCGAACCTGTGGCCTTGGTGTTATCAGCACCGCACTCTCCTGAGTGAGCCACAGGTCAGCCCTTCAAGCCCTATTTTTAATGCTATCTCTACAGATGTCCTTTAAGCATTTATTGTCCTTTCTGATTTCCCATGGGTGCCCTATTTGGGGACTATGCAGCTACTATTTAAGTGTTCTGTTCTTGACTATCCGTCCTCCCCACCAACTCAACTCACTGCACCCCTTTTGGCTGTTTTTCTCAAATTATTTTATCTTCCCAGCTTTATGACCTCTCTCTTATGTTTGTTCCCTATCCTTCTCTACCCACCTACCTCTTTTCCCCACCCTCCAAAGATACACAGAAGGAATAGCCTGAAAAAATGAGCTAGCAATGGTGTAACATCAGGAGTCTTAGGTTCCTGTGCCGCCTCTGCTGTGTGACCTTGGGCCAACCACTTTACTCTTCTGGTTCTCAGTTTCCTCTCTACACAATGAGGCACATTCAGTTCAATAAACATGGAGATAATTTAACCCAGTTCTTAAAATAAACAACATGATTTTCAAGAAAGCAAAGTTTAGCAAACAGTTCCACTACCCTACTTTCCTCACCATACCATCCTACTTCTATCACCATGCTAAGATAATGTCAACCATCTGGTGAGTATTATCGTTGTTATTTTAGTACTGAAACTCTCCTTGGCCCATCTATTCATCCCACCCAGTACCATAATGGAAATCCAAACACTCACCGTGAATTTCTCATAGAGCTCATAAGTCAGGAGGGGGTTGGGCAGCTCCCTAAAGTAGAGCTTGCAGAGTGAGCCTACACAGTGGATGTCCTGAAGGTACACTTCTCTTGTCAGATCTGGACATTGATCTGAGCCAAACTCTTGCCTGAAACAACAGAGACGGAGACATAACAATCCCAGGGAACACGTGTTCCGTGTCAGCAGCTGCTTGGCTGCTTAGGGGTAAAAAGACCCTAAACCGCTGAACTGACCGTATTTTTAACCTTGATAAAAAAGGACCTCTACTCCAGGCACAAGGAAGCCATGGAAGAGTTCCACTTCGGGTCTGGATCCTCCTTGCAAAATCTGTTGTGATTAGAAAGACATAATGCTCATTTACAAGTGGATTTCCCGTGGCATTATGTCTGCAGTCTTGGTTATGAACACTGGGAAGATATGAAAACAATTTGCCAGAAAGACCTACTGAGATTTCAGTTTTTCCAAAATATTGTTCAAAAAGAACTTCCCTTTTTCACAGGAGAGACAAAACCAGGGTGGGTCAGATTGTTATCACTCATCTCCTTATATTCATGCCAACAAACTTGTTTTATCTGGAAACTCAAACCCAAGGTTTGAGAACTTTAATCAACTATCTCTTTGAAACCTTCTAGGCTAACTGACGATGATTCTTACAGTATAGATGAGCTTATAAATATCTTCTTAAACAATCCATAGTGGGATATCTGGGAACATTATCAGATTCCAGGCCTAGTTTCTAATTAGAAAACATTTCCTAAAAAGGTTACATGAATACACTGCCTCAAATAATATGTACTTACAAGTTAAAAATCTGTTTAAAAAGTGATGAATTTGAGCTTTAATACAGAAGAGAAGTTAGACTTCTAGAGAGAATTCACTTGGTCAGCCAACAGGTAACAAAGTCAACAGGACTCTCAGAATCAACATTTTCAGAACAGCTTGCTGTCCATTCTCCTGTAGTCTGGTTCTGCCCCTTTAATAAGGGATACGGAAATCCCTGGTGCTGTCAGAACCTGAGAGGAACTGAGTGGGGCCTTGAAAAGAAAAATATGCCATGGCCTCATAAATTCATAGGCATGTGTTTTTTAAGAGGGCAGAACAAGAACAATCTACAGCTTATTCGTTTATTTAGCCAAAAATTCCCCTTGTCAAGGCTAAGGTCAGTCCTTAAATGAAAAAGAACTGGCCATCACCCAAGTGTCCTTCCAGGATACCAACTACTGTGTAGTATATTTCAGAGCTAAGAATAAATTATTAAGATGTATTTGCTGTTGAAATTTTTTAAAGTAGCACACTTAATTAGTGAAATTATGTAAACACCTAGATGCATTAAAATCTATGGCTACAATAAACTTAACTGCTTTTTCTAACAGCCTTCACTTCTCCAGGAGTAAAAAGGGTATTTTATTCCTTTGGTATAATTTAATTACAGTTGAGATGGAAGGCAGGGGAGGCACAAAAACCAAATAGGAGGAAGAATACAAAAACTGAATGACATGCACAATCTATTAAATTTTACATATTAACTTTGTAATAAGAATTCTTTTATTATTTTTAAAGTATGTTTATAACTAAAGAACATATCATAAATATATAAAAATAACACATTAAATTTATTCTTTTTGGTATTAAAGAACAATACACAAAATACATAGATCTATTGTTTTAGTTATAGAAAAGTATATATAGATACTTTATATATACTCTGTATGTATACTACATATTCTCTATTTTATATATATAGATAGATATTTATCTATCTACATATCACACATATCTATGTTTTATGTAAAGGTTTTTGCCCTCTTAATGTGATAGACATTTCCAAATGTTTAGGATAAAGCTATAGAATCGGAAATAGTTAATCCATCAATAATTTTTAAAATACCAGCATCAGTTAGAGAAATGTAGCATCATGCAGACTTCTGATTTCTCAACCAGATAAAATATCAAAGGCTGAGTGTGTGCCGTCAGAAAAACCCGTATCAACCTCCGAGTTCTGAACACCATACAATGAGGACCTAATCTAACTGAGCTTTGGGTAGGTGAGAGAATGATAATAAATCACGTTTTCCTAACTTGTAACAAATCATTTGAGTTAAATCAAATCCACCTAAGAATGGTAAATCTGGCACAAGACAGAGATTAAAAGCCTTTAGGAGCTTTTGTTGGAAAGAATTACATCAGGCTGGAGAGCTTCCTGATTAGATTAAGAACAGTCAGGCCTCTGAAAACAGCCGAAACTGATCTTCAGCCGTGCCACCCTTCCTCAGTACCTTCAGGTTTTTAATACTCCCAACACCTGCGGACAGGGGCATGGACAGAGAGGAAGGATCATGAGAAAATTCCTTGGGGGCTATTCTTTTGGCTTACCGTAGCCGTTGTATGTTTGAGGTGACCCCCGAAAGCCGGTAAATTCCATCCACAATGCCGTGAGTCTCTATAAATTCTGCACAGCTCTTCAATACATATGGAACTATGTAAGGGAAAAGAAAAAACAATAAAGTATTAGATATAAATCTGACTGTCCTTTTAAAAATATCCTCTTAGAAAATCCAGGTAACTTCAAAGAGAAATGAGTATGGAACTCATATGAGTTACAAGTGGAAATAATTACTTATTAGTAGTAGGTGATATTCCTCTTGTATTTTAAAAAAATCATAGGGTATTGTTAAAGTTTTATAAACTCGTGTTTAAAGAGGTTTTTTTTTTTTTTTAACTTGAAAAATATGCAAAAACTTAGATTTTGAGGCCAGTGGTGACCTTGGAAATCCCACAACTTAATCTCATTTACTGGTTCTCCAGATATTGTCTCCTGACCAGCAACATCAGCATCTCCAGGGAACTTGTTGGAAATGCAAATTCTCAGGCCCCACTCCAGATCTCCTGACTCAGAAATTCTGGGGTGGGGCCCAGCAATCTGTGTTTAACAAGCCCTCCGGCTGACTCTGATCCACACTAAAATTGGAGAACCACTGCCTTATTCAACACATGAAGAAACCAAGATGCAGGTAAATTTACTTAATTCACAATTACTTGTTGTTTATGAAAAGTAATTAAACACATGAGAAAATGCTTACAATATAAATAAGTAAAAGAAAAATGATACAAAATTGAATATACAAAAAGACTTGAAGAAAATCTGTCAAAAGTGACTAAATGGTTAAAGTGCTTTTTTAAAGGTGAGAACCTCACCCCACAATGGGTCAAACCAGTAATTGATTTAATGGACCGCATAAAAGGGACCAACATGGTCTCTTGGATTCCTGCCACTCCAGAGGTTCAGAGCCCTGGTGGAAAAGTCTGGCTGTGCTGTTTTCTCCTCTGGGCTGAATCTGAGCAGCCCAGCCAGCTCAGTAACCCAGAATGGCAGACACAGGCCTTTTGGGTAGTGTGGAGAGAGCAGCAAGTCCCTGCCACTTTGGTCCCTGGACAGATCCATCTGAGGACCCCAGACAGAGTGCCATGAATGGTGGCTTGGTATGGAACACTCCAAGCCTCAGACTCATAAGTCTTCAGTGGCTCCCTGGGGGGTATAGAGATGGTGGGGCCTCCATGAACTAATGCTTTAGTTACACTGTATGCATGCCCCCAACAACTACCCAACCCATTAATGCCTTAGATCCACTAATGCCAGTTAATTAATGCTCATTGCACACACTCACACACAATTCCAAGCTGGACTGGACCTTTATGTGTAGATGGCAGGATTTCAGACTCAACATTCTGTAACCATGGCTTTTCAGTTAAAGTTTGTTCCCTGTTTAAGTTGCTCGTTATTGTCTATACTACCCAAAGTGATCTACAAATTCAATGCAATCCCCATCAAAATACCAATGACATTCTTCACAGACATGGAAAAAACAATCTTAACATTCATATGGAACAACAAAAGACCCCAAATAGCCAAAGCAATCCTGAGCAAAAAAAAAAAAAGTAAGGCAGAGGCATAACATTACCTGACTTCAAATTATACTACAAAGCTATAGTAACCAAAACAGCATCATACTGGCATAAAAATAGACACTCAGACCAGTGGAGCAGAATTGAGAACCCAGAAATCATCCCTCAGGCTTACAGCCATCTGATATTGGACAAAGGCAACAAAAATCTACACTGGGAAAAAGACTGCCTCTTCAATAAGTGGTGCTGGGAAAATTGGATATCCATATGCGGAAGAATGAAACTAGATATGCACCTCTCACCATATACTGAAATCAACTCAAAATGGAATAAAGACTTAAATATAAGACCTGAAAGTATAACATTACTAAGGGAAAATATAGGTGAAACACTTCAGGAACTAGGTCTGGGCACAGACTTTATGAACATGAGCCTGAAAACACAAGCAACAAAAGAAAAAATAAACAAATGGGACTATACCAAACTAAAATGCTTCTGCACAGCAAAGAAACAATCAACAAAGTGAAATGACAACCTACAGAAGGGGTGAACATTTTTGCTAACTATGCATCTGACAAGGGATTAATATCCATAAAATACAGAGAAGTCAAGCAATTACACAGTAAAAAACCAAATAACCCAATGAAAACTGGGCAAAGGAGCTGAATAGACATTTTCCAAAGAAAGACATACAAATGGACAACAGGTACATGAAAAAATGCTTAACATCACTAGTCATCAGGGAAATGAAAATTAAAACCACATTGAGATATCACCTCACCCAAGTTAAACTGGCAATAATCAAAAAGACAGTGAATAACAAATGCTGGCGAGGGTGTGGAGAGAAGGAAATGCTCCTGCACTATTGGTGGGACTGTAAATTAGTACAACCACTATGGAAAACAGTATGGAGGTTTCTCAGACAACTACAGATAGATCTTCCATACAATCCAGCAATCCCACTTCTGGGTATATACCCAGAGGAATGGAAATCATCATGTCAAAGGGATTACTGCACTCCCATGTTCCTCGCAGCTCTGTTCACAATAGCCAAGACATGGAACAAACCTAAATGTCCAGGGCCGGCCTGGTGGCGCACTGCTATAGTGCGCCGCTTGGGAAGCGCGGCGGCGCTCCCGCCGAGGGTTCGGATCCCACATACAGACCGGTTCCCACTCACTGGCTGAGCGAGGCGCGGGAGCAGCACCGAGGGTTGCGATCCCGTTGCCGGACACGGAAAAAGACAAAAAAAAAAACCTAAATGTCCAGGGCCGGCCTGGTGGCGCACTGCTATAGTGCGCCGCTTGGGAAGCGCGGCGGCGCTCCCGCCGAGGGTTCGGATCCCACATACAGACCGGTTCCCACTCACTGGCTGAGCGAGGCGCGGGAGCAGCACCGAGGGTTGCGATCCGTTGCCGGACACGGAAAAAGACAAAAAAAAAAACCTAAATGTCCAGGGCCGGCCTGGTG